ATATACAGAGTCACTGTACCAAAAGGAAATGGTTGATGTTCAACCATTTTAAGAGGTAGCATATGATCAAGAGCCAATGATACTGAAGGAGAAAGTCCCAAGGTGCATTAAAGGAATTGGCTAAGAACAAGGCACCAGGAATTGATGGTATAAAAATTGAAATCTTTCAACAAAGTGAGGCAGCACAGGAGGCACTCACTCATCTCTGCCAAGAAATTTGGACGACAACTAACTGATTGGAAGAGATCCATATTTGTGCCCATTCCAAAGAGAGGTGACTCAACCCAATGCGGAAATCATCAATCTCTTTGATATCCCATGCGACCAAAGTTTTACTTAAGGTAATAATACAGAAATGGCTGCAAGCATACATTGACAGAAGTTCCAGAGGTTCAAGCCAGATTCAGAAGAGGCCGTGGAATGAGGGATAGCATTGCTGATGTCCGATGGATCTTGGCTGAAAGCAGAGAATATCAGAAAGATGTTTACCTGTGCTTTATTGACTATGCAAAGGCTTTCAATTATGTGGATCATGACAAGCTATGGACAGCACTGCGAAGTACGAGTATTCTGGAACACTTAACTGTGCTCATGAGGAATCTGTACCTCGACCAAGAAGCAGTTGTTCAAACAGAACATGGGAACACTGAATGGCTTAAAATTAAAAAAGGTGTGCGACAAGGTTGTATTCTTTCACCATATTTATTCAACCTGTATGCTGAGCAAATAATACGAGAAGCTGGGTTCTATGAAGAAAAACGTGGTATCAGGATTGGAGGAAGACTCATTAACAACCTGCGATATGCAGATGATACAACCTTGCTTGCTGAAAGTGAAGAGGACTTAAAACATTTACTAATGAAGACCAAAGAGCACAGCATTCGGTATGGATTACATCTCAATGTAAAGAAAACAAAAATCCTCCCCACTGGACCAATAAACAACATTGTTATCAATGGAGAAAAGATTGAAGTTGTCAAGGACTTCATTCTTCTTGGATCAACTATCAACACTTATGGAAGCAGCAGTCAAGAAATCAAACGACGTATTACATGAGGCAAATCTGCTGCACAAAACCTTTTGAAAGTGTTGAAGAGCAAAGATGTTAGCTTGAGGACTAAAGCGCGCCTGACTCAAGCCATGGTATTTTCAATAACCTAATATGCATGCGAAAGCTGGACAGTGAATAAGGAAGACAGTAGAAGAATTGATGCTTTTGAGTTATGGTGTTGGAGAATACTGAAAGTGCCATGGGCTGCCAAAAGAACCACTAGTTCCATTTTGGAAGACATGAAGCCACAGAGTGCTCCTTGGAGGCCAAGATGACCAAACTTCGTCTCTCATACTTTGGACATATTGTCAGGAGGGACCAGTCACTTGAGAAGGATATCATGTTTGGTAAGGTGGAGGGTCAGAGAAAAAGAGGAAGACCTCCCAATGAGATGGATTGGCCAAGTGGCAGCATCGATGGACTCAAGCATGACAATAATAGTGAGGTTGGCCCAGGATTGGGCAGTGTTTCGTTCTGCTGTGCATAAGGTCGTTATGGGTCAGTACCAACTTGATGGCACCTCAGAACAACGACAAGAACATTTATCTTCAGGAAAGCTACCAATTTCTAGTCAATTTGTTCTATCTGTACATTGGTATATGGAATGATTATAACTAAGTTACCAGCTTAAAATGTATTTAAGTGGTAAACACTTAGAGGCAAGAGGCAAGTGTTTTACTCTCAGCCATGGTACTGTGTTCTTTGTGACTTCAGCTCTGTTTTCTATTAACACAATCTTCAGGTCATGACAGTATTTCTAAAGCGTAGATTTCAAATGCATATTTAAGAGACAGCTGATATAAGACAACGATGAATTCCATTTCCCTGTCACAACTAAGAAATTATAATACAAATTATTACTTTTTCCAATTAATTGAATAAAAATAATAACATAATGAATTAGCAGCCTGATCAAGGAAAATAATTTGTCTCTTTCTCAAAGCTCTCCCCCATACTGAATTACAGATACAAAATAAAACTAAAAAACAACATAGAAGATTTGCTGCACTAGCTGCTGCAGGCCCGAATGGGAGATCCACCCCTGGGTGAAGGCTAGGGGATGGGCAAGGAAATGAGTGCTTGCAAGTCTGCCTGGGAGCAGACCCATGATCTGGGCACCAAAAGAGCTGCGTGATTGGATCTGACCCTGTGACCCAAAATATAGGCCAGACTTCAGTGTCCATGTTGTCCCTGCAACCCAGAAGCATTGATGGACTGGACAAAGCTTCTATAGCAACGTCAGAAGGCCCAACAGCAGGTGCTCAAACACCTCCCGTCAAGAGAAAGAGAAAACTATCCACCATTGGTAAAATCTTTTAAGCCTTAGAAATGGAGGAAAAAGATGATCAATGATATGCTTAGAGAAACATCAGCAGTATTACAAAGTTGAATATCTATAAGACAAAGTAGAGAGAAGCTGGTAAGAAGGGGAGTTCTTAAGGAATTGACTAAGATGGAGATTAACAATTAATTCTGAAAATTCAAACAGGCACATGATATCCATCTGACAAGAATCTACCAAAGAGGAAAATACTGTAAAATCTAAAGAAAGTAATGACTCTTATCTGAAAAAGCAACACCTTTGGTGTTCCTCCCATTCAAAAAAAGCAACCAGCGCCAAAGCACCTACTTCATCATCTATTCATTCACCTCATCTCGTCCCAAAGCATCAAAGGAGACAGTTGCTAGCAAAACAGGGACAGTGGGAACCACAAAGGGCAAGAAAAGAGCTGGCAAGTAGCCAGCCTGTCAAATGTCCTCAGGTGCAGCCACCTCTTGTAAGCCTGACCTTAAAGGGAATCCTTTGGGGCCTGGAGGGAAGAGTATCAAACCTGAACAGACTGTCCCTGGGACTGAGGAGCAGACCACAGGCAAGGCCAAGTCTGTGGTACCTCTATCCTCCTCAGCTACGCCCCCTCTTCCCCAACCCCTTCTCTTCTTCCTTTGGAGGATTATGTGCTGTTCTCTCAGACTCCCGTCATCCTGGTCAGCAATGGGATTGATCTTAGACCCAAGTCAGCTTCTATGGACTGAAGAGTCAATCAACAAAACCACTCTCCACTCAGGCAATGGCCTAAGTGTCACCAGAGAAAATGAAAAATGGTGAGTCAGGGGCAAAGAGCCCATATGAAGCTGAGTACCAAAGATCACTAAGCCATTCTGTTTGAAATACAGGAACCTTGTTTGTTTTCATATATCACTGAATGCAATGGATACTGGGTAAGCACCCACGTAATCCAGCTGTTTGCATTCCACAGTATGCTCCAAGAGTGGGCAGCTGGAGAAAATGGCATTAGTAACACTGAGAACCATCACAGTGTATCTGTTCAGTTCAAGGACATTCAAAGCCGGCTTCACACAGCTCAGCAGTCCTTTTTCTTGTCCCTAGACAGTTGCCTTCTGTCTCCTTAAAGTGGTTACTTGAAATCGTTAGCGCTTGTGTCCAGACTGCTTCTCCATGGCTGCTCATTTTCATTTCAACAAGTTACTTTGCTTTCCCTTTCTCTAGGATCACAAAGGCCACCAGGAAAGAGTGCTTTCAAATGTCAACTCCTTTTTTCCTCTAACCTTAAAGTGCTCCCTCACTCAAATGCCCTCTCCTCTGTGATGGTCTGGCTATAGCTGACAGCTGTTTTTACTCACTACCTGTGGGACTAGATTCGCCAACGTGTCTTTTTGCCTGTATTGATTTAGCAACCAAATTTCATTCTCTGAATCATTTTATAAATCTTCCAAAGGAGTTGGTTCTACATCTTATCCTACTTATTTCTTAAAAAAAAAAAAAAAAAAAAAAAAATTAATCGTTTGAAGAAATCAATGGAATAATAAATAAAATCAAATTATAAATTATTTTCTTTAAGCTTGACATTTTAATAAAAGATGGGAGAAGAAAAACTAACCAAATCCATAAAGTACAAATTTCATTTAGAATCAATAAACACCAGATTTATAGAATACTTAGGATATAAGATGTCAAGATAAACTGAATTTTTTACTTTCTACCTTTAGCATTCTAGCATGAAAACTTTCTGAAGCATTTTATTAATCATAATCTAACTGTTCTGTGATAAGTAAAGACACTTAGGAACTTTACTAATGAACTGTTGTTCTTAAGTGCCACTGAGTCAGTTCCAACTCACAGCAACCCTGTAGAACAGGGTTTCCAAGGAGCAGCTGGTGGGTTTGAACCACCCATCTTGTGGTTCACACTCTAGTGCTAATCCTACTGCACCACACCAGAATGAATTACTATATAACAAATATGAAAGAGTAGGAAAGGAATGAATTGTCTGGCTTCAAGACACAACTCTGAAGTTCCGTTGTTGAATAACCCTGATGTCCAACTCTTGTGCTGTCATTTACTTGTCTCTCATCAAAGCAAAGATCCAGAGGCCAGTTGTTTATGGTTCTGGGTCATAAGGGTTTTATTACACATATTATTCTGTGTGTAAAGGTCAACAATTTTAGCAGTTTAGCACCATGAATACATATATTATTTCAAAACACTTTGCTAACCTCAAAATGTCCAAAGCCTACAATATCATACAAATACACAAAAAAAATCCATAAAATCCAGAGATTTATGGATTTTCTGGCATTTAAATGTTGTTGTTAAGTGCTGTTGAGTCGGTTCCGACCCATAAGAACCCTGTACAGGGTTTCTGAGGCTGTAAATCTTTACGGGAGGGAGCAGAAAGCCTCACCTTTCTCCAGCAGAACAGCTGGTAGTTTCGAACTGCTGACTTTAAGGTTCACAGCCCAATGGATTTCTTGGCAGTTAAATAAGCCACTAAAAATAGCATGACCGTTAATGTTTCTTTGTTCTCCAGTGTGGTGCTTAATGCTCTGTGTTGGATAAGATCAAAATACAGCGCTGCCTTTTGTGGCTCTGATAGTCCATAGGAGAGACTAGACACATGTAGGCTGTAGGGATTTGCACAAATTGTACCTTGTTTAAGAGCACCTTCTCCAGCTCGGATGAAAGAAATCTCATTGGAATCAACCATGTGGTGTGCTCCATCTTGCAGGACAAACCGGAGCCCAGACAGTTTGTGACCAGAAAGAGGGCCCTTCTCACAGGCATCCAAAAACCCCTGTTAAAGAAAACAACTTCTGGAGTATGCAGATTTCACTTGCATTACCAACAAGCAACAAACATTAGTGTTGCAAAGTTTATGACGTCTACATATATTTTACCCCTTAAAAAAACATTTTAAAAAAGTGTACCAACCTTATTATTAAGGCGTCTAGATGAGCAATGCCTTGGAAAAGTCTATTACGCTAGGAGGTATGAGTGAGTTTCAGAGTGTTGCTGAGTGCACTAACATAACCACATTGTCAGGAACTAGCTATTCTTAGAATCCATATAGAGACGGTATGATCTTAATTTTATAATGAGGAAACAAAGGAAAAGCAAAACTAAAAAACTCCCTAAGAAAAATCTCCATCAAAACTGGCATTTCTTTAACAGACATGTTTAGAACCCCTAACATGAGGGGGGTTCAAAAAGTTGAGGAAAATTTTCATTATTTTTTAACTCCATTTTTTTCACAAACTTTTGAAGTCCTTTTGTATATTCCTATGGTGTAATTAATCATGTCGATCCTCGCCTTAGACTTCGTAACTCCTACCAAACAACTCCTTTCCAGGGAGGTCTGGTCAGAGAACGTGGGAGAAGATACTAACAGGATGATGTGATTCAGTTGTGAATGACTAGTAACAGAGTTCATTGTAACTGTAAACACTTGGAACTTTAACATGACATAGGTATAAAATGAGGCACCTCAGAAACAGAAGGAGGGCATCTCATTACCATCAAAGAAGAAAAGCCACCAGTGAAGTGTGTCCTTTGGATTCTGAGATGTTATGATGGTCATCCCACTACAGTGGTAAGCATAACATTTTATAAATCTATAATGCTACTACAAATTCTAATCACTAATTGCAGTGACGAAGCAGTCTCAATTTATCAAGAGAAAAATGATAAGCATGACCAAGAAACAGGATGATTTCCCATTGTTGTCACTGCTTTTATTTATAGTTCTTGAACTTAATGAATTAGAGATTATAAATCAGATAAAAAGTGTTAACAACCAGATAAAGCAGCAGGGCTGCAACTAGAACAATAATGCATAGCCCGTAATGTAACAGAAGAGGAAGTAGGATTTGATCCCTGTTTTTAAGAAATAAAAATGCAGGAATGCTTTTTGTTTGTTGGTCTTACCTTTTCTACAGCAGGCACAAACTGCTTTGGAATATTTGACCCAAAAGTTTCATCTGAGAACTCCAGCTTGGTGTAGTCCTCTGGGTCCAGAGGCTCCAGCACACCCATCACTTTCCCAAACTGGCCGGCACCACCGGATTGTTTCTTATGTGTAAACTCAAACCTGAAAGTGATTTAGGAGACGGTACACCCAACACAGCATTATGCAGTCACCAAAACTCACTGACTTCTACTAATGTCAATGAAAAACAGCAACACATTTAATCATGTCCATTTTTCCTTTGAATATGATGAAGTTGATATAAAATTTAATGTAGAATTTATTTTTAAAAGAGCCCTTTTTTGTTCTTATTTGAGCTGAGGGTAGGGAATATCATATAACTAATCAATAGTTTTTTTTTAATTCTGTGAATTCTGAATTACACGAATAAAAAAGCAAAAGTCAAGTTATCAAAATTGAAAAGTCAATCTAAGTTTCTTGCTGTAAAGAAGTCTGGTGGTGCTGTGGTTTAAGCATCAGGCTACTAATCATAGGGTTTGTGATTTGAACCCTCAGGTGATCCATGGGCGAAGGATGAGGTTGTCTGCTCCCATAAAGATTTACAGTCTTGGAAATCCTAAGTAACAGTTCCTACATAATAGCATTAGCAATTGAATACTTTAATCATTGTACCAAGAGAGTTCCAGTCAGTGATACAGACAAATCATATGAATTCAATACAAATAAGTGCTTACTTCACACTACAAATGGCAGCATAAGTAGCAAATAATAAGCATTTCAAGTATATATTATACCTATCTATATATAACAACATATATAAGCCAAAACATCTATATCATCAGGTAAAACAAGGCCAGGGGCCAATTGTGGAATAGACCATCCAAGTGTTCATATGCAAGTTCAAGCTGAAACTGAAGAAAATGAAAACAAGTCCATGAGGCACAAAATATGACCTTGAGTATGTTGTTGTTAAGTGCCGTCGAGTCGGTTCCGACCCATAGCGACCCTGTACAGGGTTTCCAAGGGTGTAAATCTTTATAGGAGTAGAAAGCCTCATCTTTCTCCCGCAGAGCCGCTGGTAGTTTCGAACCACTGACCTTAAGGTTCGCAGCCCGATTCGTAACCACTACACTACCAGAGCTCCCATCAAAATATAGAGACCATCTCAAGAACATATTTAATGCATGAGACACAAATGACTGAAGATAGTTGTGAGACTGACATCAAGAAAATCATACAAAACACAAAAGGACATTAAAAAGAGTAGAAGGAAAGAAAAGACCAAATTGGCTATCTGAAGAGACTCTGAAGCTTGCTCTTGAATGTAGAGATGCTAAAGTGGCTATAAGAAGTGATGAAGTAAAGAGTTAAAAAGAACATTTCAAAGGGCAGTTTGAGAAGACAAGTATTATAATGAAATATGCAAACATCTGGGATAAGAAAATCAAAACGGAAGAACAAGCTTATGATTTTACATGCTGAAAGAACTGAAGACAAAATTTATGCCTTTGGTTGCAAAACTTAAGGATTCTATGATCAGAAGGAGGTTCAATGTGGTGTTCTAGGTTGGTGGTTCAAACCCACCAGCCACTCCTCAAAAACCCTATATAACAGGATCAACAGGAGTCAGAACTGATTCAATGGCAATTAACAACAAATAGCAATGAGCAAAATATTGAATGAAGCAGGAAGCATCAAGAGAAAATGGACGGAATACACAGAGTCACTGTATGAAAAAAAATTGGTCGATGTTCGAACATTTCAAGAGGTAGTATACGATCAAGAACCAATGGTACTTAAGGAATAAGTTCAAGCTACATGGAAGCATTGGCAAAAAAACACCCAAGGCTCCAGGAATTGATGGAATACAAATTGAAATGTTTCAATAAACTGTGCAGTGCTGGAGGCACTCACTCATATAAGCCAAGAAATTTGAAAGACAGCTACTTGGCCAACCAATCAGAAGAGATCAATAACTGTGTCCATTCCAAAGAAAGGTGACCCAATGGCATGTACAAATCATTGAACAATATCATTAATATCTCACTCAAGTAAAATTTTGCTAAATATAATTTTAAAATAGTTGCAGCAATACATCAACAGGAAATTGTCAGAAATTCAAGCCAGATTTCAGAAGTAGATGTGGAACAAGGGATATCATTATTGATATCAGATGGATTTTGACTGAAAGCAGAGGATATCAGAGAGATATTTACTTGTGCTTGTTTAACTATGCAAAGGCATTGTTGTTGTTGTTGTTAAGTGCCGTCGAGTCGGTTCCGACCCATAGCGACCCTGTACAGGGTTTCCGAGGGTGTAAATCTTTACGGGAGTAGAAAGCCTCATCTTTCTCCCGCGGAGCGGCTGGTAGTTTTGAACTGCTGACCTTAAGGTTCGCAGCCCAATTCGTAACCACTACGCTACCAGAGCTCCTGCTGTGTGAATCATAATAAACTATGCATAACACTGTGAAGAATGAGTATTCCAGAACACTTAACTATGTTCAAGAGAAAACTGTAAATAGTCCAAAAGACAGTTGTTAGAAGGGAACAAGGGGCTATGGAATCAGGAAATATGTGTGACAAGGTTGTATCCTTTCACGGTATTTATTCAATCTGTATGCTGAGCAAATAATCAAAGAACATGGCAACATGATTGGAGGAAGGCTCATTAACAACCTGTGATATGCAGATGACATAATCTTGCTTGCTGAAAGTAAAGAGGACTTGAAATGCTTCCAGATGGAGATTAAAGACCATAGCCTTCAGTATGGATTGTATCTCAATGTACAGAAAATGAAAATCCTCACTACTGAAATAAGTAGCATCATGATAAAGCAGTCAAGAAATCAAACAACATATTGCATTAGGCAAAGCTGCTGCAAAAAATCCCTTCAATGTATCAAAGAGCAAAGATGTCAGTTTGAGGACTAAGGTGGGCCTGATCCCAAGCATTGGTATTTTCAGTCTCCTCATATGCATGTGAAAGTTGGACAATAAATTCAGTGAAAAGACTGAAGCCTTAGACCATGTGTGCAATATCTATCAAATTTAGCAGACCCTCTATCAGGCCGTGATGAACTGGAATTGATTCATGGTGCTGGGTTTAGTTTCTATCAGGTTTATTTTGGACGAGATAAACAAATACAGGGGACACAACTTACTTTCAGTCATCAGATCTTAACCTCAGGATCTGTGGTCCTAAATTCTTTACATAAAAAATTTGAGACAACTTTTAATTATAATGACAATGAAAAATGGCACACACCTTTGAAAAGATTTCTTCCATACAGTCCAATATACCTTCAAAATAGTGTTAATAATTGAGGTAAATTCCATCCTGAGTCATATTAGCTGTAAAGTGGTTGGAGATTTAACGGGTAGTAAGTACTTGGTAGCCCTGGTGTGTCGCTGTAGCGTGTCACTGGACCACCAGATCGGTTTGAACCACAAACCCAGTGGTTCAAACCTACCAACCACTCCTCAGAAACCCTAAACAGAGTTGCTATGAATTGGCACTGACTCGACAGCTCTTAACAACAACAGCAAGTATGGTTCAACACGGTGGCTCTGTACAATAAGCACTAGACTGCTAACCATAAAATCAGCAGTTTGAGCCAACCACTCGCTCTATGGGAGAAAGATGAGACTCTCACAGTCTTGGGAACCCTATAAAGAGTTGGTATGAGTTGGAACCAATTTGCTGACACACAATAACAAGTCCTGAACAGCATAGATAGCAAATAGTTCCATCCCCACAAAGTCCTTCTACTGACAGCCCTGCTCTGGAGAACCAACTCACAAACAGCAAGTCCATGTAGCTTCAGGGACCATTTATGAATTTATAATCAAGTGGCTGTCAAATAACAGAACACTGGTGCAAAGTCAGAGCTCAGCACTTCTATGGATTGTTCTACTTGTTCACCACAAAGCCATAAAGTAGGTCCTATTTTTATCTTCATTCTGCAGATGAGAAATCTGAGGGTCAGAGAGGCTAACCCAATGTGACACAGCTATTAAGTGGCAAAGCCTGGATTTGCACCATATCCAATGTTCTTAACCAAACATTTTCTTGAAGACTAATAAGGAAAGAATATAAACTTATTTAACCTGAAAATGATGTGCCCAGTCCAAAAGCCATCACAGGGTGCTGCATCAACACTGGCTTTGCAGTAGTCTGAACAGATATGAGGCAGAAGACCTAAGGCACTGCTTGGCAGACAGCTACAAAGGCATACTGAAGGGAAAAAACCCAGAGCCCTGCATTCAGACCACTATAGGCTTGATAGGCAATTTAGGCTGGGCAAAACATCATCTGTCACGTGAAAATTACCGTTACCTAGCATTGTGGAGGTTTCTGTTACCTCTGATTTGTAGATTTGTTTTTATTTTATAATCATACCAAAGTTGCTAGCTACAGCGTTTTTATCTAGTTCTGTGTTCCTAAAATCGAACCAGCTGCTGTTGAGTCAATTTCAACAACTCATGGAAACCCCTGCGCTCAGGTCAGGGGCTGACCTTTTTTGGATGCACCAGGGACTCTTGTGTTCACATTGCTGCTGCTGCTGCTGTTGAGTGCTGTTGAATCAGTTCTGACTCACAGCGACCCTCAACAGGGTTTCTGAGGAGTGACTGGTGGGTCCGAACCACTGACCTTGTGGTTAGCAGTCTAGTGCTTATCCTACAGCACTATACCAGCACTCCACATAGCTACAATTATAATAAACCGAAGGAGCCCTAGTAACATAGTGGGTTACGAGTTGGGCTACTAGCTGTAAGGTCAGAAGTTGGAATCTACTAGCTGCTACAAAGGAGAAAGATGAGGCTTTTTGCTCCTGTCAAGATTTTGTTGTTGTTTAGTGCCACTGAGTTGGTCCCAACTCATAGAGACCCTGTACAGGGTTTCCAGGGAGCAGTTGGGGGGTTTGAACTGCCAATATTGTGGTTCGCAGTCCAACGCTGATCTTACAGCATCACACCATGAGCTTCAGAAATCCTAAACCTGGTCTCTAATAGCTGAAACCTACTCCGAGGCACACAACCCCTAGCTGCACCAGTACCACACATATAAGTGACCATGTAGGACAGAGTGCAACTGCCCCATGGGACGACTCAATGGCACTTCACAACCACAACAATCTTTACAGGGAGTCCTGATGTGGCATGGTGGGTTAATGCACCAGACTGCAGAGCTCTCTGAATTGCAAGATCAGTGGTTCAAGCTCACCAGCTGCTCCTCGGAACCCCTATACAGGGTTGCTATGGGTCGGAATCGACTTGTCACAACACCAATCTTTACCGAAGGAAGCTGCCACATCTTTTTTCCCCCCACAGAGTAGCTAGTGGGTTTGTCTCACCAATCTTTCAGTTAGCAGCCAAGCATGTAACCACTGGGTCACCAGGGCTCATCACTAAATCATAAAACCCACTGCTGTCAAGTTGGGTTTTATGATTTAACGATGAGCCCTGGCTACTCCACAGAAAAAGATTCATAGCAATCATGTAGGACAGAGCAGAACTGCTCCATAGGGTTTTCAGGTTTAAGGGGGCAAACACCTGTACCTTCCTCCCACAGAGCAGTTGACTGGATGTGAACCACCAAACCATTACACCACCATGCTCCTTAAGAGATTCTGTTACTTTTAGTAGGTCATTCATATAAAGTTCAAGTTTAAGTATACTATGACTGATGAATGACTAACCATTCATGAAGCTTTAGGAAGCAGCTAGGAGTTTAAGGACCCAAATACAGGAATGAGGCTCTCTTAATATGGTTTATTTGTTTAACATATAAAGAAACAGTTAAAGTTATTTTTTAATGTTATATAAATATATATATATATACACAGAGAGAGAGACAGAGAGAGAGCGCGTGCTCTGGTAGTGTAGTGGTTACGCGTCAGGCTGCCAACCTTAAGTTTGGCAGTTTGAAACTACCAGCCATTCTGCAGGAAAAAGATGAGGCTTTCTGCTCCCATAAAGATTTACAGCCTCAGAAATCCTGTGCACGGTCACTATGAGTTGGAACCCACTCTATGGTACTTAACAACAATATACATATATATCTATATCTGTATCTATCTATCTATCTGAACCTAAATTGGAATGTATACTTTTAGTACACTGCTATGTTACAAACTATGCTATTAATCTTGACCTACAAAGATAAGTGATTATATTCATAAAGTTTCAGAATGTTGATTTCACAGAGGAAGTTTACACTAGTCTAAAAGGAGCTCTGGTAGCTTACTGGTTACGAATCGGGCTGCAAACCTCAAGGTGAGCAGTTTGAAACTACCAGCTTGTTCCATGGGAGAAAGATGAGGCTTTCTGCTCAAGTAAAGATTTACAGCTGGAAACCAGGATCGCTATGAGTCAGCACCAACTCCATGGCACATAACCACCAAATGGTAGTAACACAGGAGGTGCTGACTAGCGATTTCTGAAACCTAAAATTTCATTATCAGCAAATAGTTCTTTCTGCGTCATGTACTCAGTCAGCCACTCTTGCCTGGACACTATCAACTCATTCAGACAATTTATTCCCACATAACTACAGCCCAAGAGGTATGCTAATAAATGAATGACTCATCCACACGCCCATAAAAAGACAATACAACCTTGAATTTCTTAGAAAAAGGCTTAACAGGAGGTTTCTTTCCATCAGAAACAAATTATACCTCTAATTACTTCAAGTTGTTAGCTAATATAATGGAAAGGATAGAAAATGTCTTGCTGCTTTTTAAAAACTGACTCACATGAGAGTTCTTATTTATAAATACATTTAAAAGTATATAAGGAAGGCAACACATTACAAGTATATTTTCATTAACTTTTCCTTAAAGCTCACCAAAATATGTGTGTGTATTTAAGTGTGTTTGTGGCACCATAGGATAAGCACTAGACCGCGAGGTTGGTTTGAACCACAAGGTCAGCAGTTCAAATTCACCAACTGCTCCTGGGAGACTCTATACAGGATTGCGCGCGCTCTGCGTGTGTGTGTGCGTGTGCGTGCGTGTGTGTGTGTGTGTGTATCTCTCTCTATATAGATATCTATATCTTTAGATAGTGTGTGTGTGTGTGTGTGTGTGTGTGTGTGTGTGTGTGTGTCCTGGTGTGGCGCTGTGGGTTAATGAGCAGAATGGCTAGGTCAATTTGAATAGCAAGATTGGCAGTTCAAGCTCACCAACCACTCCTAGGAAACCCTATACAGCGTTGCTATGAGTCTGAACCTACTGGACTTAACCTATGCACTTAACAGTTGCATATAGATATTTAGATACAGATTGTTGTTGTTAAATGCTGTCAAGTCAGTTCCAACTCACAGTGACCCTGTATAGGGTTTCCAAGGAGCGGCTGGTAAGTTTGAACTGCCAACCTTGTGGTTCAAACTGCAAGTGGCTCTGTAGGAGAAAGATGAGGCTTTCTACTCTCATAAACCCTATATAGGGTCACTATGAGTCAGGACCAAGTTGGTGATACACAAACACCACTACGATTACCACCACCACCACCACCACCACCCCCCCAAAAAAAAAAACGTCCAACTACAGTTTGGAACACTTGCTATTCCTAAATCAACCAGCAGCTAAATGCAAACCTGGAAAGGGAGATCTGATTAAATAGAATCTTACTTTTCTAATGAAACAGCCTAAATTACAGTTTCTTTAAAGGTGAAACAAGAAAGTAATTAACTGAAGAGTGAAAATGTACTGCCAACTAAAAGTTTGCCCCGTTTTTAAAAATTCCTGCTTTCGTTAACAGCTATTTCAATTTAATGCTTTGTGGCACCTAGCTTTTTAAGTATGTTTTAATCCTTACGGTAAAATGTTCAGTCAAATTCTCATCTTTCTAAAATCAGTAAAGGAGGGAGCAGTATATTTCTCATGATCTAAATTACATAATCTCCCATATTGCTGTTACAGCTTGCAGTCTCTCATACCCTGCCTTGGGCAGAACTAGTCCCACAGAAATCTGCAGATGAGCAAACCCGTTCCTACACTATTCTAAGGAGAAACAGAAGCACAACCTGGTGCACCTTTGCACCCTTCACCTTGGACACTGTAGGTGGGGCACAATGTGGGCATTGTGTTCCGTGCAGTTAAAGCAACCAGACACTCCTTCCACAGGGAGGAAACTGGAGGCCCCAGAGGAAATGCATATAAAGTCAAAGGCCAAAAAGTCCTCCATGCACTGCTTTTAAGGTTAATAAAAGGAAAGGGGCCATATACCTCGCGGAGGCGGCGGGCGACTCTATTGGGTGCCAATGCGTAGCGCAAGGGGAAGTAGGGCGGGGCTCTGCAGGGGGAGTGGGAGCGAGAGCCCAGGCAACAGCTTCCTGAATCGAAAGGAGGGAAGGAGGAAGAGAGGGAGGGAACTCGCGATCCTGTCCACGCCCAGCCGAAGCCTGGCGTACAGACTTTTCCGCCTCGGTGATCGAGCAGCAGCAGCAGGCAGGACTAAAGGCGCCCCCGCCCGCTCCCGTTAAGCTTGAGCAGCCCGAGTCGCCTAGTCACCGCTCACGCTCACCAGGAATGGAAATCCCACCGACCCACTTCCCAGCTTCCAGGGCGGCTTCAGTGGCGGAGAACTGCATCAATTACCAGCAAGGGACTCCCCACAAGGTATTTCTGGTACAGACAGTCAAACAAGCCAGCATGGAGGTGAGTCCAGCAGAGGAGGAGGTGGGCGCGGGCTTTGGGTGCGTCTGAGTTCCCGCTATTAGCCAGAGGTTTCATATCTCATTGCCTTTGGGCCCCTTACCTTCGACCTCCCTTGGCCTCTGTTCCAAGACAAATCACTGACTTCTGGTCTAAATGAGATTTCCACATAACAATCTAAGGTGGCAGCCCAGGGCTGTTTGTTTTCAGAGTAAGGCAGAGACACCAGCAATTGTTATGGTGTGGATACACCGTAGTTCGAACCCACCAGTCTCTCCGAGGTAAACATGAGGCAGTCTGCATCCATAAGTATTACAGCCTTGTAAACCATATGGGACAATTCTTCTCTGTCCTATAGGGAGGGTCACTACAGTCAGTCTCCACTCCATCGTAACCAGTTTGCTATTTTTTGATACTACAAAAAAATGGGAAAATGCTCTTAAGAGATTGCAGGCATTTCCCCCTTTCTCCTAGTGAAATGGACAAGAACCATTCAAAAGAACTTTAAAACTGGGACTCGTGACCACAGAAAGCTCCCATCTCCACTACCAAAATTTTAAGACGAATGCTTTATTATACTGCGAGCAGAGGAGGCTTTTTTTCTTCATCACCCAAACACTATTGACACTGCTTTAAATGATGTGCTTCCTCTGCTTCATGGGCTAAATTAAACGTGTAATGCCTCAGCAATCACCAAATAGGTTTATTACCATTATAGTAAAATCTAATGGACTTAAGATTGTCCCATTTATCTTACATAATTTTTACTGTGAACAGGAGGCAAGCTGACAGGGAATGGGTGTTCTGTTGAAACGGTACCAGATAACACAACCTAATTATACATAAATGTCTTAAAATTATAAAGTTCCAAGTACAGTTTTGAGTTCAATTGATAAACTAGTAAATACATACTAGTAAAAATCAACACTTCTTGTTTTTATTACCAGTACTGGTTGTTGTGTGCCGTCAAGTCAGTTACGACTCACAGCAACCCTGTATAGGGTTCCCCAGGCTGTGAATCGTTTATGGGAGCGAAAAGCCTCATCTTTCTCCTGCAGAATGGCTGGTGGGCTCAAACCGCCAGTGTTGTGGTTTGAAGTCCAGGGCTTATCCTACAGAGCCACTGTGCTCCTACCAGTACTTACTACCCATAAAATCTCCAACCACTGTGCAGCTAATCTGATTTAGGATGGAATTTACCCTAATTGAACATAATCACTCATTTTTTCATTGACATTAGAATTAAAAGCTATCTCAAAATTTCTTATAACTAAATTTAGGATCACAGATGCTGATGTTAAGATCTAATGAATCAAAGTTAAGTTGTATCCTCTGTGTTTATCTCATCCAAAATGAACCTGATAGAAATCAAACCCAAAGCCATGTATCCATTCCAACTCATCAAGGCCCTATAGAGGGTCTGCTAAATTAAATATTGCATACATGGTCTAAGATCTTTTACAAAATCCACGTCAGTTTGCCCCCACCCCCCAAACAATCAAAGGAGAATGAATTCTTTAAACAATACAAAGAACTGAGTTAATTGTTACAACAGTTTCTTCTCTCCACCACATTTTCTTAATTTTAGGACATTCCGGGCAGAGGACATAAGTATCGTCTTAAATTTTCTATAGAAGAAATTATCCAAAAAGTAAGTGAAACATCCTTTGATTGTAAATCTAATTCTAACTATTCTAGATTATTTTAGCTGATAAAAAAAGTCATAGTTTTTGGGGTTTCTTTTTTTTTTTTTAAGTTGATGTGAAATCTTTGTCTCCAATAAAACACTGCACATGTGGGTAAAGCATAGAAGGGTCAGTTTTTATTATCGTTGTGTCTTCCAAGAATCACGAAGTATTTCTGTTGCACTATTTAGAAAACAGACTCTATACTTACTTCGGTTCAATTATATTTCCTTGAAAAAGATTATATACTGGCTAGCGTCTGTCTCTCTCCCAACCCCACGGCTCCTTCCAACAAAATCAAAGTCTTTTCTCACATTTACAGTCCCTAATGAGGGGCTGAGTACCTAGTAAGCAAGAAAAGCATGGGCTTTGTTAGCTTACTGTTACTAGCTTACTAGTCAGTAGTAAACAGGTTTTTCCACATCAAAGAAGTAGTGATCCGTTTGGTGATCGGTTTCTGCAATGGAAACACTTGTCATAATAAAATCCAAGTACAGAACACATGCCACTCTGGGGACTGAGTGAACAGGAGAGCAACTTTCTAAAACTAATAGTGTGTCAAGATATCTGAATGCTGGATCCTATTCAGCTGTGCCAGTCAGCTTCACCTCATTTCTTTTTCTCTCTATCCCTCAGCAACAGGCTAGCCACTTCCAGAAGAGGCTTGGGAGTGCAGGCTTCAGGGCTTGATGCAGACTAATTTAAAAGAAGCTGACAGGAAACCCCTGCTCTTCAGTAAATAAACTCTTCATTCTGCCTAATGTAGTCACCACAGGGTCACTCTCACTGCATCCCATGAAAACCCAAGAGTGAGACTAACAGCCAGGCTGAGCACTGTGAGGACTTAAAGAATGCTAAGGCCAAGTCCTATCCCTCTCCTCCTCCTCCATTGCCTTCCCACTTACATACTCATTCCTTAGACAGCTGCCACAGCCTCCTCCATGCACTGAACTCTGTTCCACTAAAATATGCATTGGAATCCTAACCCCTGAACCTGTTGTTGTTAAGTGCTGTTGAGTCGGTTCCAACCCATAGAGACCCTGTATAGGATTTCCGAGGAGCCGCTGGTAAGCTTGAACCACCGACCTTGCAGTTCAAACGGCTTTGCCATCTGGCACATTAACCCACAGCGCCACACAGGACTCCAGTATAATCAATTAATGTAGGGTATCACCTAAATCTAATATTTCTGAGTTACATAAAGAACCGCATAGACACAGAGACACAAACACATACTGGGGAAGACAGGTGCCCTGTGAGGATTACCAAGGAATCAAGAAACACCCAGAGCTACCAAAAAGAGAAGAACCCACATCACCATGACCCTAATTTGAACTTATAGCCTCTAGAACTGTTAGAAAATAAATTTGTGTTCTTTACAGCTCCCACACCCACCCACACCACCACCACCAAAAAAAAAAAAAAAGATGATACAATCAGGGCAGTCTGAACTTATAAACCCCAGTGAACAAGTATATGAATTTTCTTAAACCCAGCCACAGCAATCTGTATCTACATGTAAAATTAGAAGACTGTAGCACTGATTTATGCTTTGTAAAGACGGCTGTTTTAACATCACAAATGCCTTTTAAATGAATTTTTCTGAATTATGCTCGGCAAAAGGGCAAGCTTTTTAAATTTCAACATGATTATGGTATAAATTGCAGTTCTTTCCTCCTAAGTTTGTCTCATTAATATATGACAGGTGCATAATCTAATGTTTCCAGCCCTACTACTGAAAAACCCCTTCCTTATGTAAATGGTGGCACCAGTTGGCCATTCTTTCCTCAAATCTAGAGCCAAATGAGAAAGTCAGACATGAAAGTGATCATAATTAAAGAACAAAGACGTAAAAAGTAGTGAGCATCTGAAGTAGGTATATATAATGAGACTAAACTCTGGTCTTGCAAATGGACACCCCTTTAATATGGATGTATTCAAAGTTACAAAATGAATTTATAAGGTTGTGAAACTTACAAGGTTCTTTTTTAGGTTACTTATAAGGAGTCCAGGTGTGGCACTGTGGGTAAGTGTGGCACTGAGGATTAATGCGCCAGACTCCAAAGCCATTTGAACTACAAGGTCAGCGGTTCAGGCTCACCAGCTGCTCCTTGACAACCCTATACGGGGTCACTATGGGTCGGTTGGAATCGAATCAATGACACTTAACAACAACAACATATGATCACTAACTATGGAAAGTTACTAGTTCAGTTTCAATTAGACGCCAGGAAAAATCAGGTCTGAAGCAACACCATTGTGGGCCAATGCTTTAAATCCTATGTTCCAAAGAGCAATAATCTCAGTGTAAGGATCTTTTGTAAAAATGTTTCAAACAGCAAGTTACAGTGAACTGCACGGCTGAAGTACTCTACCCTCCAGTGGGACAAGATACTGCACCAGAAGTCAGCTTCACGTTTGAGGGAGAAATTGGGAAGAACCCAGATAAAGAAGATACTACATTTTATCAAAGACTCAAATCCATGAAGGAACCTCTAGAAGCACAAAATATTCCAGGTATATAAATATGACATGGAAAAAAAAATTTTTTTTTTCTTTCAATTTTAAGATCTCAGTTATCTATGCACAAAGTCGTTAAATATTGCTATTAACACTATGTTGGAAATATACTAACTTTGGCAAAAATATTCACTAGCAATCTTACTAACAACAAAAAAAGCAGATTTGGAACTTTATAGTTTCATGGCTTACGCAAACTTTTCTGTGCATATTTGTAGGAAACTAAGATGTGAATTAGAATTTTGAGTTTAAATTTTATTTATAAGTTAGACTTTTTAAAGGTTAATACTGAATATACAAAATAATTACATTTAATTATTTAATATTTAATGTAAATGTTTCCCCTACCAGACAGTTTTGGAAATATAGCTCCAGAAATGAAGCCAATTCGACATTTAGCCTGGGTTGCCTGTGGTTATATAATGTGGCAGAATTCTACTGAAAATACATGGTATAAGATGGCAAAAATTCAAACTGTCAAGCAAGTGGTAAGTACTTTTTATAAAATATACTACTAACAGCGTTAATGTTTATTGAAAGTACTGTAACTAATACAGTGTCCCTTCTGTCATTTTATATTTAAAATAGTGAATATCTGCTATTTTAAAGGAAAGGTCAATTATAGTCAGAGTTACAGAAAGTAAACAGTTGTGGGAAGAGTGCAAAGCAACAACAGCTGGTCCAGAAAGTCACTTGGTTCGGCTGACATGCAATGAAAGCCTCATTTGCTTCAAATTTGCCTTCCTCATAATTGGACTGGGCTACTTTGCATTCCCTGGGCACACACTGACCATGCAGCGGAGCAGTAGCCAAGGATTTCAGTGAAACACTTATGACTAACAAGTAGTATCTACATTATACTTTCTAATAGCACTGTAGTAACACTATTTCTTAATCTTTCCTATTAGGCAAGTTAGATTTGACTATGATGCTTTGCTTAAACCCTTTTCTAAAGGAAAAACATTTAGAGAGTTTCATCAGGAATCATGTAGGACAGAGACTCCTAAGTACACGTATGCGCTTCTAATGCTTCTGTCTTTGATCAGCTATAAAAGGCACTGAGACCCACTTTGTATGGCAGTCACAAGTGAAGCTGGTTTTATTAATTTACACTGTATTTCTTCTTGGGTTTGCAATTTCAACTGACTTAAGTCTTGACATAAATAATCTGGCATTTAGTTTTTGTGCGCAGCTTCATACTAAGTAATTGCTTTAGCAACCCAAGTTTTGTGTTTAAATTACTCTTGTTGCTGTTATTAGGTGCTCAAGTGGGTTCTGACTCATAGCAACCCTGTCTAGGGTATTTCCAAGGCTTTTTAAAAATCTTTGCAATAGCAGAAAGCCTTGTCTTTCTCCCATAGAGCAGCTGGTGGGTTCAAACTACAGACCTTGCGGCTTGTAGTCCAGTGCTTATTGTATGGAGCCACCTTGCTCTATAGTCGTGCAGTACTGACTCTGCTTTACTCCTTACTACAACGGTGGTCCTACAGTGACTCGGAGGCTGGCTGGCATTCCCCATCTCCCTGCCCCCAACTGCTATCAACCTGAACAAAAAGAGCAATATCTCAACCTTTGTGAAGCTTGTTATAATGCCTCTCAAATAGTTTACTCATTCCTTAGCTTGCTTTATATAACTGTATTTGGTCACACATTTAGTCATAATTTGTAACCTATATCTTACTTGTTCCTAACTTTCTATTTTCTTAAATCTGATATGACTATTTAAAACTGCTTCTTTCTACACCCAAAGGAGATTAAGAATAATCCTTCGATTTTTGCACTAAGAGGTAGTAAAGAAACATTCCAGCTAGTATCTCATGGAAATCAAGAAAAATGGAGAGAAAAGAAATAACACTTTCAATCAGCTCCTTAAGAGGCAAGAATTCTCCAGCTGACTTATTTTAGCTTGTTGACAACAAACCACAAGGCAGCAAGAGTATCTTTACTCCACAGGCGTTTGCAACCACTATTAGATACCTATAGGCACGCACAGGGCAGGATATCCAATTACAGTGCTCAGAATGATGCCAAATGCCTACCATAAATATTACAGCAGCTTCAAAAATAGAGCCCTTTTTCTACTACAGACAACATTCCTACAGGAGTACTAAGGCCTCAACTAATACAGTAACTGAGCTAGATTCTAAGAGGCCATAAAACCATAATCATGATTTTCAACTCAAAATCCTGTTGCAGGCCATATAAAGGACATAAAAAACTTAAGATTACATGTTTTATATCTAGTGTACCTTTTCCTATTAGTAAGATCCAACATTAAGAAACCTTACTGATTTTTGTATCATCTTAAAAGGATATTCTTTGTATATTCAAAGAAAAGGTTACTTTTCCTAATAAGGAGAAAAAAAGTTTACTTTAAATAGACTCTCTGACGCTGTGGCTGCATGTATAGCCACTATTAACCAAAGGGGATTTCTGGTGTAGCACTGTACGATAAGCACTGGATGAACTGCTAACTGTAAGGTCGGTGGCTCAAACCCACAGGCCACTCTTCAAAAGCCCTATGCAGGGTTGCTAGGAGTCTGAACCGACTAGACAGCACGCAACAACAATTAACCAAAAGAACCAACAGGAGCTTGGACTCCCCTTTGGAGTTTAAGCACTGTTTCAATACATTGGTTATAAGCCATAAAAAGCCTTACACAGCAGAGCTGTGTAAATCATGGTTTCAAATTATGCAAAGACAGTATTTCTGTGTAGTTGATGGCATAATTTCTGTCTTTTTCCTTAAATCTCCAAAGCAGTACAGTTCAAGGTTTTACTTTACTTAACCATAGCTGCACTTACCACCAACAGTCTTAGTTCCAAATGTCCGATGCACAGGTAACTGGCACTTGCCCGTTAATGTTTGGTAAACTGGCCCTCACTTTGGAAAGACTGAACCAACAACTACTGGCAACAAATTCTTCATCATAATCCCCTTCACTTGCTGAGTATGCAGCTTTTAAATCACTGAAAAAGGCTTTGAGCTTTTTCGTACATTTTAACCAAGTGACCGAGCATGTAAATCTTTACCAGAGCAGAAAGAAAGCCTCATCTTTCTACCTCAGAGAAGCTGATGAGTTTGAATTCCCACCTTGAGATGAGCAGTCCAGTGCTTTACCTGACAGTGCCAACAGAGCTCATTTTTCTTGAATTTAAGTAAGGATAAATACAAACTTTATACACCTGTTCTGATTTAACCTACAAATTCTGAAAGACACATTTAGGAGCAGGTCTCATTCATTACCTGAGACAGACTGTATCTTTAGTTTTCTAAAATTTATACATTTGTTTTATTCAATGTAAACACACTTTCTCAGTAGTTTATCCTTTATATATGCTGCTTCAGAACAACGGAACCTTAAGAATTCTTAAATAACAAACTACACCGTAATGCTACTAATTAGCTACTATCCGAACAACTTGGAACTAAAAACAAAAGGGGGAAAACACAACCTTTAAAAAAGCAATTACAAAATTTCGTTTATCTGTCAGGCTAAATTAAAATTATGACATTCAATTTTTATTTTTACCTAAATGGAAGTGTTATTATTGTCTAAGGTAAGCTAATTTTAAAAAGTTAGATTTATTTTTGCCAGTAATAAAAAACACCAGCTTTTTATTTTTTGTCTTAGCAAAGAAATGATGACTTTATTGAATTAGACTACACCGTTCTACTTCATGACATTGCATCTCAGGTAAAGTATTGCTTGTTTGATGCCACTCTGAAAACTGAGACAAATTTCAGAACTACAGTTGTTGTTGTTGTTGTTAAGTGCCATGGAGTCAGTTTCGACTCATAGCGACCCTACACAGGGTTTCTGAGGCTGTAAATCTTTATGGGAGCAGAAAGCCTCATCTTTCTCCTGCGGAACTGCTGGTAGTTTCGAACTGCTGACCTTGCGGTTTACAGCCCGATTCGTAACCACGACGCTACCAGAGTATGCTTCATTAATTTAGACTTACAAATTCATGTAAATTCAGACAGGCATTAAGCTGAAGTATTTATCCTCGTAGCATTTTAATTTGTTTTGTGCTACTCTTTATGAGGACAAACAAAATGTAAACCCAAGTGTATATCTGTAAATATTTTCTGAATTTTATCATGGACTTAGGTTTTTTTTTACTTGCAGGAGATTATTCCTTGGCAAATGCAAGTTCTCTGGCATCCACAATATGGTACTAAAGTAAAACAGAATAGCCGACTGCCAAAGAAAGCATGCTTGGAATAAACCAAGACCCTAACACTGGGATAAAGTGACAACGTGCTTACTAATGATGTCTATGCCAGTCTTCATTTGTATCCACTTTAAGGAGCCAAGTCAATTCAATCCAAAAGTGTCACTTTGTATAAATGTCTTGATTCCAGTATAATTATATAGATTCCACAATGAAAAGTATCACTGTGTAAAGGCATCTTAATTACTAATTACAGTATAATCCTATGTCTATTCCATAATAAAAAGCTTCAATACCAGTCTCATAATTATGTCTAATTATACTTCATACTTACGGGACAGGGTCAGTAATGGTTTCTCTAAAGGCAACTTTTGGCTTTCCTGTGATACAAGGGCAGCCATATTCTCTTTCCATCCTCTAAAACAAGTGGAAAGGGAGGGAAATAGAAGAAAGTAAGCCAATTGCCCTCATAAAGCTATATGATAAAATCTTAATTTTCATTCCCCTACAATGGCAGAATTTGCTAATCCTCATATATGTTAAACTGACATTTAGCAGAACATACTCCAATCTCTTTATAAGCAATATAAATTAATGCTATAGTTTTTTGATACATTAGCATTTTTCAAAAAAAAAAAAAGTAAGCATCTTAAATACCATGAGAGTATTCACTTAAATATGAACAGATAAAAAAACCCTATATATCATTTAAGCATTTTATAAGGATTGTTGTTACGTGCTGTGGAGTTGGTTCTAATTCATAACCATCCTGTACAGGGTTTCTGAGGAGTAGCTGGTAGGATTGAACCACTGATCCTTTGGTTAGCAGTATAGTGCTTATCCTACAGCGCCACACCAGAATTAATTAAACAATTCAACTACATTTGTAGATTTTTTTTATATAAATGGTTTCTAATTTAAACAGATTTTTTACACTTAAACTCCAATAAATCTGTCCACTAATCTGTCATTAGTCCATTATTAGTATATCTTCCCTGTAATACTCTGTGACTTTACTGTCAGAGCTCTTCTGCTGTCTCAGCTTCAAAGCTATAATAACAGCTATTTTTTAATCATAAGTCAGATAACCTTTTGTTTTTATCCATATTCATACATAAGACCTTTTCGAGGAAAATATAGGCTGCATAATATAGAGTGGTGTGACCTATATTTTCCTGGTAAAGGTCTGGTGTGTGAATATGAATAAAAACAAAAGGTTATCTAATTGATGATTTTAAAATGTTATAATTATAGCTTTGAAGTTGAGACAGTAGACTTCTGACGGTAGAATCACATATTATTACGGTAAATATATATTGTTGTTGTTGTTAAGTGCCGTCAAGTCGGTTCCGACCCATAGCAACCCTAAATAGGATTTCCAAGGCTGTAAATCTTTACGGGAGCAGAAAGCCTCAACTTTCTCCCGCAGAGCAGCTGGTAGTTTTGAACTGCTGACCTTGTGGTTTGCAGCCTGATTTGTAACCACTACGCTATATTAACAATGGAATAATGGTAGTTTTAGTGGAAATGTGTGGCACTGTAGTAGCACTGGACCACAAGGTCAGTGGTTGAAACTCACCAGCCACTTGTCAGAAACCCTATAGAGTGTCGATATGAGTCGAACTGACTTGATAGCATTTAACAACAACTCTATATTATGATGATTTTCAGGTACTGACTTGAGGGTGGGCAACAGGGAAGAAATGGCCTGCAGAGTGAGAATTGGGATGATCTCAGCAAGTTCCTCTCCTTAGGCAGAGACCCAATTAACCCTGACCTGGGGGTGGACAGGTGGTGCTGTTTCATATTTCTGGAGACTTCATTCTAGTAAAGTTTTGCAAATAAAAAGGTTTGTTGTTGTTATGTGCTGTCAGGTTGGTTCCCACTCATAACAACCCTGTATAGGATTTCCAAGGAGTGGCTGGTAAGTTTGAATTGTCAACCTTCTGCTTACCAAGTCTCGTACTTATCCTAAAGCGCCACACCAAGACTCCAAAAAGAGGTTTATAAATATAAAAATAACAACAAATAATGGAGACTGCCAGATACCATATACAAACCACAGTAAGGGAAGAAGAACTAACACTTGTTCGTGGTAAAAAAATTAAGAAAGAAATAGTCAATTTAGCTTACTTGTTAGCCATTACCTGAGCATAGATCTCCAAGTGTAATTCCCCCATTCCAGATACAATTGTTTCTTTGCTCTCAGTGTCAAAGTGGACTCTAAATGTGGGATCTTCTCTTGTAAACCTGCCAATACCTTTTGAGAATTTTTCTAGATCATTCTTTAAAAAAAAAAAAAACAACCAGAAGAAAATTATTAACATTTTATTAAGTATGGTGTTTTTTTAAAAAAGAATTCATTCAAATACACCAGAAAAAATATCAACGTCCAGTTCCTGTAAGTTCACACCCTTTTGTTTCCTATGTGAACCTGGATGCCACATAGTCAAGAGAACAGGAAATATTTATCTAATAAGAATTTCTTTCCATACCAAGACAACAAGGTCCTCTTTTCTACTACACTAACAAAAACTGCCTGTTTGTGGTTTAAAGTGAAGTCAGAAGTTAAATGTGAGTTACGTTCTAGAAAGCCTTTCGTAGCAGGTTAGCAGCTCGATTCTGTGGTTACGAATCGGGCTGCTAACCTCAACGTCAGCAGTTTGAAACTACCAGCTGTTCTGTGGGAGAAAGATGAGGCATCTGCTCCCATAAAGATTTACAGCCTCGGAAACCCTGTGTAGAGTCACTATGAGTCAGAACCGACTCCACGGTACTTAACAACAACAACATATACAAACACAATCAAGAGAACTGGCGAGTTTACCAGGACTCTCCTGTAGATTCAAGCAAAATAGATACATCACACTGAGACTTCGCCTTTGCAAAACAATCTGCTTGGATGTCGTATGGTGCCGTCTTTATTCTACTTAGATGCAATTCCAGATAAAATAATGGTCCTCCAAAGCAGATACTATTAATCAGTCTGCTGAAGTACTAACACTCAGCACCTGTGAATGTGATCTATATGAAATTAGGGTCTTTGCAGATGTAATTAGTTAACATGAGGTCACAATGGAATAGGGTAATCCCTAATTCAATTGACTGGTGTCCTTAAAAGAGAAGGCATACTCAAACACTGAGGAAAGAGAGTCTTCATTTGAAGACAAAGGCAGAGATTGGATTGACAGTGCCATAAACTAAGGAGCACTTGGCACTCCCAAAATCTGGCAAGTGACAAGGAAGGACACCGATTGTAGCCTACTAGCCTCCCGAACTGTGAGACAATAAATTTCTAGGGTTTCAAGACACACAGTTGGTGGAAATTTGTTATGACAGCTTTAGGAAACTAAGACCAGACGTATTTAAAATCTTTAATGTATAAACAACCTCAAGATACCAAAAACCCTTTTGGATATTGATGCATTTGATTCCATTTCATTATTGTGAAGTACAAACAGTTAAATGTATTACATAAACTCTAGATTTCAGAATGAAGATGTATAACTTTAACTTCTAATTCTGCCTATTTCTGATGTTGTTATTGTGTACTGTAGAGTCAGTTCTGACTCACAGAGACCCTGCACAGGGTTTCCGAGGCTGCAAATCTTTACGGAAGCTGAAAGCCTCATCTTTCTCCCACAGAACAGCTGGTAGTTTCTAACCGCCAACCTTCAGGTTAGCAGCCTGATTCATAACCACTACACTACCAGAGCTCCTTGCCTATTTCTGATAGGAGAAAGCAAACAATTTAGGAATAATCATACTAAGGTAAGAAAGATGTGAGGTTCACCCTTCCTTAACTCTGAGAAGATGGAATAATTTACTATTTCTTGTTACCACATTTCTACTATGGGGGGAAAAAAGTTCTAAAAAAAATCTCAATATTCTTCAAAATTAATTAGTTAGCTGTTAATAATATCTCCCTGATGACAATAAATCAGAACTTACTTGGTAATGATAGCTCCCAGATTACAACTGGTCATAAAATGTTCTCCCAATGCATGAATGAATGAATTTTAAAATATCACGAATGTTATGAATGTCAACACAACTTAAGAATTAAATTATGGTTCAATATCAGGACTAAATTAAATGACAAATAATGCCAATGCAGAACGTATTCAAGGTCATTTTGGCTTTGTAAACAGCTAATGGTATCATACATAATTACAAAACAATTATATTCTAAAGTGAGAAAAACAGCTCTGTTTAAAGGCTTTCCATTTTATAATTTTATACTTTCTAACCAGACATTTACTTCATAATTACCACAAAATTTGTATATGCATCAAAATCCATGAGGCAATTAGTTTAACTACATTACATATGGAGTTTTACTATAACTTTAAAAGTCTTTTCCACCCCTTTATGATCCAAAACTTACACTTACCACTCTGATACTACAAAGAGGTCAAAAATACAGTTTGCTGAATAGTGCAGCGACATCGATTTCTTTAACACTCAGTAATTATTACTAGGAACAGATATATTTTGCAAGGTGATCTCAATGGCAACAGAGGAAACAGACACAATCATATTGCTGGTTATCACAAGATAGCATATGCAATGAGGAGGGAGATGAAAAAGAGCTCAGGTGTTTACTGTGCTGTACAGAGCTATAAACCAAACTCCTACCTTGTTAGAAGGCCTCATTGCTATTGAAATGACAGGATCAGGAACATGAATTGACTCCTAAAATATATTTTAAAAAACAAAGAATTCAAATACAGTATTTTATGGCTCAGAGATGGATTAATTTTGGTGTGCTACTTTAAACAAAACAAACAACAAACACAAGCTGAAACCTTTAGGTTGGACAATATATAATGTGATCTGTTTTGCATTAAATACACAAGTGTCCAATTAATATGACCTTCCCCTTCAAAATTTTTTTTTTCTTTTACTTTTTAAAGTCCTTACATTTACTGACCCTGTAGTTTAATACCATCAATGTAAAGAATTCAAATATTGAGGTATGAAAATAGTATTGGCCAGTGGCTACATTCTGGTGTGGCACTGTAGGATAAGCACTGGACTGCTAACTGCAAGGTCAGTGGTTCAAACACAACAACAGCTCCTCAGAAACCCTTGCTGTGAGTTGGAACTGACTGGATGGCATTCAATAAGAACAAGAATGGACAAGTAACTTTATTTAATCACAATATATATGCTATGATCACTGACAAAGGAAAGAGAGAAAGGGCACTGGATTCTTTAAACTAAGATATCTCAGTTAATTATCTTAGTACTAAGCAGCAGATACAATTATCCTCATTTTACAAATAAAACCACAGAAAGAAGGTACAATAACTTGCCAAAGGTCAGCAGTCAGTAGATGGCAGAGGGGATACCAACCTGGGCTACAAGGGGGCTTAAGAAAGTTGGTGGAAAAATCCCATTATCTTTTTTTTTTTTTGAGAATCAATGTACGTTTTATTGAGGGGTCTGGAAGGCAGCGAGACTCCTTCTCTAAAAGGCTGCCTTGGCTTCCCCCAGAGGTTGGAGCTTTTATTTGTTGTTGTTAAGTGCCATGGAGTCAGTTCCGACCCTGTATAGGGTTTACAAGGAGCAGCTGATGAGCTTGAACCACCAACCTTGTGTTTGCAGTTCAGTACATTAACCCACAGCAGCACTCCTGGAGTTTTTATACCATCCGGGATATTAACCCATTTGTTTTTGTCACATTCCTTTCGCAGAGCTTACTGCTCTCCCCCCACCCCCACAGGAGAGCAATCTGCACCCACTTCTTAAGGTCTTTATACCCGTCTTTTTTTTTCTAAGTTTTTATTGTGAGGTTTACATGGGAGAACATCAGCCCTACACTCATCCTATCCCACTTCATCTCATTGCAATGATTACAATCCCCTCCATGCATTATCAAACCAAAAATCTCATTATCTTTTTTAATTACATTTCTCTATGCTTCAAAGTCTGGGCATGTCCCACAATCTACAGTCCTGTCGTATTGTTAATGCCAAGGCTTTAGAAAAAATCTTGTCAAGAATAGTCACAAAATATTTTCCTTACCAAGATTCCAAACATTAATTACATAGCTTTTTTTGGGGGTGGGGGGGGGCTATCTTATATCCACTTGGAAAAATCACAGATATTAGAGGTTCACCATTTAATAGAGAAATAATACAGTGTTCTCTTCTGTTACGGGTGGACCAGCTCTTCTATAAAAGTCCCATTACAAATTCCCCCACTGCATATTACCTCTCCCTCAAATAGTCTCTTCTGGATGCATGAAGAGGGCCACCCTCAGGAATGAATGATCATACTGTATGAATTTCTCTTATAGAGGAGAAACCCAAAAGGGAAGTGAGGGAAGGCTCTTTTCCTAGGGGTCCTTCAATGGCGAAAAGGGGCCACTGATTTTCATAGGGAAAAGGAAGGCCTAGTGATTTACTTCTGAAATATAACTACTGAAAATCCTGTGGAGCACAGTTCCACTCTAAACTTTACATGAGGTCACCACCATGAGTCTGAGTCTACTAGATGGCAACCAGTTGGATTTTGCGTTCTAGAAGGCAGGCTCTAGACAGTTAAGACTAGCTAGTCACCTCCTCCTGTCTTCTAAGCATGATTAGTGGGGCTGTGGGGTAATGCGCTGGACTTCAAAGTCAGTTTGAACCACAAGGTCAGTGGTTCAAGCTCACTAGCAGCTCCTCAAAACCCTATAAAGGGTCACTATGTGTCAGAACTGACAAGACGGCACTTAACAACAACAGCCACGTCTAGTCTAAATGCCTGGATCCACCATTCTCTAGGTGTCAAGGGGAAAGTCCTATCTGACTGCTGAGTTAAAGAAGGAAGTAGCACCCCTTCAGGACCAGCCTGAGGATGGTGCCAGCAACGAGAGAGGCACTACAGTGGGGAAGCAGATCTCAGAGTTGAGGAGTCAGGGACACATGATCCCAAGGATCTCGTGAAGAGTTTCCCTCCACACCAAACTTTGAAGAACTGTGGAATGGTTTTACAGTAATCATCGGGTAAGTTCACTTACACAGGGCACTTAGCTAACTGACATCCAAAGAGCCACAGCTGATCTATAGTTGATATCTGTGACACTCAATAAAAACTTTTGTGGTTGTTTTCCTAAAGTACTAGCTGCACCTACATAAAAACTGACTTGTGAAGTCCAAATGATGAACAGCTTTGAAATTAAATAACTTACCATAGAAAGGCCACTATTATCTTTGTTTGTGAATGTGTCCCCAGTAGCACAGTCAATGCCAAACAATGCACAGATGTCTCCGGCATACACTTCCTCAACATCCTACACAGAGAAAGAACACAAATAAGAAAGTTATAAGGGACACAAATCAAGACGTGGTGGTGGTGTTACGTGCCGTTGAGTGGATTCTGACCCATAGCAACCCTGTATAGGGTTTCCAAGGCACAGCTGGTATGCTTAAACTACCAACCTTGCAGTTCAAACGACTTTGCAGTCTGACACATTAGCCCACAGTGCCACAAAGAGTTGGTACTAAATGTAATTGTACAATAAACATATTTCATACAACCAGGCTGAGATCTTGTACAGTGGATTCTATAAAGAATGAGTCAGATATAATGAATACACACACCAACAATCAACCATGTTAAGACACAGATTAAACAGAGACCTTATTTAAACTACACCTCAATAGCAAAATTTTACTTCAAACGAAAAACTCAGAGGATCTGTAGTCCTGACAAAACAAAGTCTCATGGCTCTGAAGTTACTTCTACGGAAAAGCATGTACTATTTATGTCACTACAGTCATCCTCTTGAATGAGATGCATGACAGCGACATCCAAGGAAAAAACTCAAAGGAAGTTTTGAAAACAAAAGCAGGAGAATGGAACCCACTGTACTTAAAATAATCTTACTCTTCCACAGATGCAATCAAGAAAACACAGGAAATCTAAGAACAAAGCACTGGTGCCTCGAAGATTGCTAGGATTTTGTCCTGTTATATTGACAGTACATTCATAACAGCTGTGGCTGTGAGATGGTGGTGTGTGAGTCTGTGTGTGTGTAACAGATGCACAGCTGTACACCTCGGGTTTCTGGCACATGAAACAGCTATGACAATTATTAATCCCTCTTCAATGCCCCTCTGCTGCCTATCTTACAAAACAGCAATGCTGTCCAATTTTGAAAAAACTTAATGATTCATCTTCTAGAGGAGATAAAAGTTATTAAAGTCATAAGGCTTTGCTTGTTTTTGTTAGGGCCGTCAAATCGGTTCTGACTCATAGCGACCCTGGATAGGGTTTCTGAAGGACAACAGAAGATAAGGGCAGATTCATGGCTAACTCAAAAGTTAAAACAATACATTGAAGTTTATCTCCCAGACTGAGTCTTAAATTTTCCTATGGGTTCTGACACTCATAAAACCCTTTGAAATCAAAGCTCCAGGGTAAAACAGGGCTTTCAAGCCTGCCGTATTTCAGATTCACTGGAAAGTATGAGGATGAGTCAAAAATTATCGCACTAGAGATGACGACGTGAAGAGACAGAGTGGCTGGTGACTCTACACTCAGAGAGGGGGAGGGGCTGTGTGCTGATGATCAGGGGGCAGGCTTGCAGGGTATGCCCTATGGCTGGTTGATGATGCATGGAGGGGACTGTAACCATTGCAATGAAACAATACACAATAGGATGAATGTAAAGCTAATGTTCTCCCATGTAAACTATCACATAATTCACAATTAAAAAAAAAAATTATCTGCACTCTGGCTGTAGAATTTATTTTAATCAACTTTTAGAAATGACACATGTCATTTTTCAACATAATCTCTTTGCTTTTCAATACACTTTGTCCATCTGTCAACAAGATATTGTATTATTCCCTTATTTAAAAGTTTTAGGCTGAGCTGTGAGCCATGGATGTACTGCTGTCTTCACTTCTTCATCAGAGGTGAATCTCCATCCTCAAAGGGCTGCTTTCAGGGCACCAAAAAGGTGAGAGTCCGATGGAACAAGAAATGGACTATAAGGAGGATGCTTTATCGCCTTAAAATGAAATTTTTGCAGGATGTCAACAGTGTGGGCAGTGGTGTGTGAACATGCATTGTCATGCAAGATCACAATGCCCTTGGATAGTAGTCCTCTGCATTTAATCTGAAGTTAGACTTCAGTCTTGAGTGAGCATCTTACTTTAATGTGCACTGTGGGTTGTTGAACCTTTTTCCTGATAGTGTTCCAATACTGGCCCTTGAGAATCCTCCAGAAAACTGTAAGCATCAATTTTCTAGATGGCTGACTTTTGAACTTTGTCTTTTTTGGTGATTGAGGATGTTTCCATTCCATACCCCACTGTTTACTCTCAGGCTCATAGTGATGAATCCAAGTTTTATCATCAGTAACAAATTTTTTAAAGAAATGTTAACCTTCCTCAAGGATTGGTTCAAATGTTGTTTGCAGATGTCTAAACGCTTCTGTTTTTGCGCTTCCATGAGTTGTTTCAGTACCCATCTCACACAAAGTTTTTGAAATCCAAGTCTGTCGTGGATTACTTCACAGGCAGAGCCATGGCTGATTCACACATGATTTGCCAGAGAATCCACTGTCACTTGTCTATTTGACAGAAACATTTTGCGTGCACACTCAGTGATGCCATTAGATGTGGACGTGAATGGGCATTTTAATATAATCGGAGTGCAGACAATTTTTGACTCACCCTCAGAATGGACAAGTAAGTTTGGGAAATTAAGTGTGAATCTATTACTTTTGTTTACTTGAGAAAATTGCAATTCCACTGTCTTAAACACCTACTATGGAGTCCTGGTGTGGCTCAGTAGGAAAGGCACTGGACCTTGTGTTAACCACATGGCCGGTGGTTCAAGCCCACTGGCTGCTCCTCAGAAACCCTATATGGGTTGCTATGATTCAGAACCAACTAGATGGCACTTAACAACAAGAAAACATACCTACTATACTCATTGTAGGAGTCCTAGTGTGGCGCTATGGGTTAATGTGCTGGACTTTAAAGACAGTTTGAACTGTAAGTTCAACAGTTCAAGCTCACCAGCTGCTCTCTGGAAACCATACACAGGGTCACTATGGGTTGGAACCAACTCAACGGCACTTAACAACAACAACAACAACAGATACTCGTAAGGATTCCTGGTGTGGCACTGTGGGTTAATGCGCTGGACTGCAAAGTTGGTTTGAACCACAAGGTTAGCAGTTCAAGCTCTCCAGCTGCTCCTCGGAAACGCTATATACAGGATTGCTATGGGTTGGAACTGACTCTACGGCACTTAACAACAACAAACTCCTCATCATAACCACTGTCCTAAATAGCTATTATACTCTTTGTAATAGTATCTCTTGAGGAATGTGCTGAATACTGCCTTCTGAGTCTTAGGCAATGTTTCTTCTCATTGGCCTGGTACATGAAGAAATCTAGCTAACTTACAGCAGTCTAAAATATGTTCTTAACATCAGCTACATTGTTATTGTTGTTGTTGAGTGTGGTCGAGTCGGTTCCAACTTTTCCCTGTACATGGCTTCCAAAGAGAGGCTGGTGAGTTTGAACCCTCAACCCTGCAGTCCAATGCTTATCCTACAATGCTACATTGGGGTGGTGGTGTGCTGTGGAGTTGGTTCCGACTCATAGCGACACTCTATAGGGTTTTCGAAGCTGTAAGTCTTTACAGGAGCAGAAAGCCAGGTCAGGGCTGCCTTAGCAAGGAAGAAACAGCTAGGAGAAGGCAAGTTCAACCGAAGGGACTTTCCAGTGGTCTGACTTCACTGGCATGAGGGCAATTTTCAGTCTCACCACGGGACCGCGGACTTGCCTCCATCATGTCGGCATGCATGCGAACCAGCCGTTGTACCCGCACCTTCTTTCTTGTCCTCGTATTATAGATGGTGTCACCCTTCTTTAGCTCGCCCTGATAATTACGGACGTAAGTTAGCTGTCCAAATCGACCTGCCTGGAAATAAAAATCGGGTAAAGGTGGGAAGAATAAGGAGAAAAAAAAAAGACAATCAAAATTAGGAGGAAAACTTCATAACTATCAGCAAATATCCCTCCAAATGTCAGTAATTAACATTTTATTGGGTTTTATCCATAAACTAATTTTAGTACTAGTTAAGGAATATGGATGCTATTGCTTTCTGCTCCCATAAAGATTTACACCCTCGGAAACCCTGTACAAGGTCGCTATGGGTCGGAACCGACTCGACAGCACTTAACAACAACAACAAGGAATATGGATGTTGTTGTTAAGTGCCGTCGAGTCGGTTCCGACCCATAGCAACCCTGTATAGGGTTTCCAAGGTGAGCTTGAACCACCAACCTTGCAGTTCAAACAGCTTTGCAGTATGGCACATTAACCCGCAGCTCCACACCAGGACTCGAATATGGATAAGATAAATTAAATGGCTGTCGACCTATCTTTTTGGTATCACAATCCAAGACACTTCTGCTTCCTCTGAAATAAGAGTTCTTAGAAATACAGTCACTGAAGGTGTGGAAAGAAGCTACAGTAACTTGACCAGAGGTTAGCAATCAGTAGAGGGTCAAGAGGATTCCAACCTGGACTACTGGGGGGCTTCAGAAAGTTTGTGGGGGGAAAATCCCATTATTTTTAATTGCATTTTTCTATGAACTTTTGAAGTGCCCTGTATTTGCTTAAAAGCTTGAGCATGTCCTATAACCTCTAGTCCTTTCATATTGCTAATGCCAAGAATTTAGAAAAAGAGTAACTTTACAGTGGAGAAACCTAAAAACACTACCTCTGCCAGGTGATCAAGGTCAATATCAACAGTGCTGAGTCATGTTGAGAGTCTGTACCCAGTGATGAAATGGCACTTTACACCTCCATGGTTGCCTCCTTAAAACACATTGCTGTTGGTTAAGTGTCCACAAGTCGGTTCCAGCTCATAGCAAACCTGTTCAGAGTTTCCAAGGCCATATATCTTTGTGGGAGCAAAACGCCTCCTCTTTCTCCCATAGAGCAGGTGGTGGACTCAATTCCCAACTTTGTGGTTCACAGTCCAGTGTTTATCCTACAGAGCCACAATGCTCCCTAAAACACATGTTGTTGCTATGTACCATGGAGTTGGTTCAGACTCATAGTGACCCTACACAGGGTTCCCGAGGCTGTAAATCTTTACGGGAGCAGAAAGCCTCATCTTTCTCCCGCGGAACCGCTGGTAGTTTCGAATCGCTGACCTTGAGGTTAGCAGCCTGATTCGTAACCACTACGCTACTAGAGCTCCTTAAAACACATAAACCCCATTTAATCATGAGAAGTAGTCGTGGTGTGGTGCTATAGGACATGCACCACAGACTGCTAACCATAAGGTCAGAGGCTCAGACCTACCAGCTACTTCTTGGAAACCCAATACAGGGTGCTAGAGTCGGAACCAACTCAACAGTACTTAACACCAACAACGATGAGAAGGAATCAATGGTTGACAAGTTTAGCTGCTAACCAATAGTACCTCTACTCCATGCAGAGGTACTTCAGAAGAAAGGCCTGGGGATCTACTTTCCCAAAAAGCCACCATTGAAAGCTCATGGAGCACAGTTCTACTTTGACACACATGGCATTGCCATGAGCCAGAGTGACTCAACAGTAATTGCTATAGGCAACAAGGAGAAAAACATCAGACAAACTCCAACTGCAGATCTGTACAAAATACCTGAGCAGTACCCCTCTCAAAACTGTCAAGGTCATCAAAACACAGAAAGCAGGAAATACGGTCACAGTCTAGAGGAGCCGAAGGAGACACAAGGACTAAATGGTATCATATCCTGAAGGATAGTTTGAGATTTAAAAATCAGTGAAAACTAAGGAAATTCAAATAAAGTATGGACTTTAATTACAAATATTGATTAATTAGTCATATAACATATGTTAACAAGAGACAATTTCGTGCCAAGAGTATACAGGAATTTTCTGTACTTGTTTTATAACTTTTCAGTATATCTAAAATTATCACAAACATTTACTTCCATGTCAAAAAGTCATTCGGCAAAGGGTTCTGAATAGTCAAGAAAAATCTTGAAAAAGAAGAAAGTAGGAGACCATCAACTTCCTGGTTTCAAACCTATTACAAACCTGCAGTAACCAAAACAGTGGGGTACTGGTTTAAGGACAGACATAGACTAATGAAACAGAATTGATAGTTCAGAAATAAACTCATTATGGCCAACTGATTTTTGACAAAGGTGGCAATTCTATTAAATGGTGAAAGATGAGTCTTTCCAAGATATGTTAATGGGACAACTGAATTTCCCCATGCAGATGAATGAAGCTGAATTTCTATCTCATACCACATATGTAAGGAGTCCGAGTAGCATAGTGGATCATGAGCTGGGCAGTTAACTTCAAGGACAGCAGATCGAATCTACCAGTTGCTCCACAGGAGAAAGAGGATGCTTTCTGCTCCCATACAGATTTACAGCCTTGGAAACCTACTGTGCTTTCCAGGGTCCCTATGAGTCAGAATCAACTGAGTGCCACACAATCACCACTACCACATAAGCAAATTAAATCAAAATGAATCAACAACTTAACTCACAAAAGAGAGCATATGGGTAAAATTCCAGAACACTGTATTTAGCAGTGGATTTCTCAGAAATTACACCAAAAACACAAGTAACAAAAGAAAATATGAACTGACTTTACCAAAACAAAAACTTCTGTGTACTAAAGTACATTATCAATATAATGAATAACCTATAAAATGGGAGAAAATACCCGGAAGTGATCTATTTACCTAATAAAAAATGTTTTCATAGTTGCTATCTAGTCAATTCCAACTGATAGGAACTCTGAAGGGCAGAGAACTGCCCCATGGGGATTCTAAGGCTGCAAATGTAATGGAAACAGATTGCCACAGCTTTCTCCTGCTGAGTCTGCAGTGGGAAGGGTCCTCCAACCTTTCAATTAGCAACCAAGTGCCACCACAGTTTCACTATACGTGATCAAGATTTAATATACAGAATATATACGGAGTCCTGGTGTGACACCGTAGGACAAGTACTGAGCTGCAAGTTCCATTTGAACCGCAAGGTCAGTGGTTCAAACTCACCAGCCACTTGTCAGAACCCTACACAGGGTTGCTATAAGTCAGAACCAACTCCAGGGGACTTAACAACAACAACATACAGAATATATAAAGAATGCCTACAACTTACCTAGAGAAAAGTCACCCCATCAAAATATGAGCAAAAGACAGACTTGAGTATGTATTTCATTACAAAAGATACATAAGTAACCAATGACCATATGAAAGATGGAGTCCTGGTGTGGCACTGTGGGCTAATGCGAAAGACTGCAAAGTCGTTTGAACTGTAAAATCGGTGGTTCAAGCTCACCAGATGCTCCTTGGGAAGCCTCTACAGGGTCGCTGTGGGTCGGAATCGACTCGACAGCACTTAACAACAACAACAACATATGAAAAACACTCAACATCATTAATCATTAGGGAAAACGCATATCTAAACCACAATGAAGTATACTTCACACCTACTAGGATAACTATTATTAAAAAAAAACCAACAATGAACATTGGTGGGAGATTGAGAATTTGGAATCCTCATCCATAGTTGGTGGTGGTGGTTATGTGCCATGGAGTCAGTTCCGACTCATAGCGACCCTGTACAGGGTTTCCAGGGCTGCAAATCTCCACGGGAACAGAAAGCCTCATCTTTCTCCTGCGGAACAGCTGGTAGTTTCGAACTGCTGACCTTGCAGTTCGCAGCTCAATTTGTAACCACTAAAAGGTAAAATGATACAACTACTATGAAATACACGTCTAGCAGTTCCTCAAAGAGTTAAACCCAGATTTGGAAACCCTATATAGGGTGCTATAATTCAGAACCGACTCAATGGCACTTAACAACAACAACTACTTTATGGTGCAGCTACTCCACTTATGGGTGAATACCCAAAAGGATTAAAAGCAGGACTCAAACTGATATTTGTACATCAATATTCATTGAAGCATTATTCTCAATAGCCAAAAAAGTGAAAACAACATTCATCAACAGGAGAATGAATGCACAAAATGTAAAATGTCCATATGGTGGAATATTATTCGACCACAGAGAAAAATGAAGTTTTGATAGATGCTTACAACATAGATGAACCTTGAAAACATTATACTGAGTGAAACTGTTATTGTTCTAGTTACCGTTAAGTGCCATCAAGTCAGTACCAGCTCATAATTAACCTAGGCACAACAGAATGAAACACTACCCGGGGTCCTGGGCCAACCTCCCAATTGTTGTTATGCCTGAGGCCACTGCTTCGGCCACTGTGCCAATCCATCTCACTGGGAATCTTCCTCTTTTTCTCCAAGCCTCCACTTTACCAAACATGATATCCTTCTCCAGTGACTGGTCCTTTCTGATTAATACGTCCGAAGTACGAGAGACACGAAGTCTGGCCATTTTGATTTCTAAGGAGCACTCTTGCTGTACTTCTTACAACACAAATCTATTTGTTTTTTGGCAGTTTATGGTACATTCAATATTCTCCTCCAATATCATAACTCAAATGCATCAATTCTTCTACGGTCTTCCTTATTCACTGTCCAACTTTCATATGCATCTGAGGTTACTGAAAATACCATGGCTTGGGTCAGGCGCACCTTAGGCCTCAAACTGACATCTCTGCTCTTAAAACACTTTCAAGAGATTTTGTGCAGCAGATGTGCCTAACACAATACATCATTTGATTTCTTGGCTGCTGCTACCATGAGTGATGATTGACCCGAGCAAAATGAAGTCTTTGACAACTTCAATCTTTTCTAAATTTATATGGATGTTGTTTATTGGTCCAGTGGTAAGGATTTCTGTTTTCTATACATTGAGAGGCAACCCATATGGAAGATGGTGATCTTTGATCTTCATCAATAAATATTTTAAGTTCTCTTCACTTTCAGCAAGCAAGGTTGTATCATTTACGTATCGCAC